ATTCCTCCATATCTTAACATTTATATTAAGAAAGAAAAATTGAGTGGTTAGCATTTGTATGATCAATTTTCTGTGAGTACTCAAGATTACTTCTTTATTTTTCACCATTATTAGGGTAGAATTCACAAAAAATTGTAGATATTCATGATGTGTTATAAAATGTGATATTTTCATATACATTATGAAATGATTGCCACAATCGAGTTAGTTAATATATCTATCACTTTACATATTTACCTTTTTCTTTTCATGAGAATACCTAAATATATTCTCTTATAAATTTTGAGTATGTAATACATTATTATGAACTATAGTTATCATTCTATACATTGGGTCTACTAGCATTTTTAATCTTATAACTGCAAGTTTGTTCCTTTGTCAATGTCTGCCTGTTCCTTCATCTACTCTGTTTCCATGAGTTTGATTTTTTAAGATTTCACATGTATGAGAATCCATGCAGTGCTTATCTTTTGGTGTCTGTTACATTCATTTAGCACAAAGTCTTCCATTTTCATTCATGTGGGTAGCAAATGACAAGCTTTCCTTTTCTTAAAGCTGAATAATATCCCTCTTTTATTCTTTTATTTATTTATTCTTTTTATCAGTTGATGGGTATTTGAATTGTTTCCAGCCTAAGTGAATAATGCTGCAATGATCATGGGAATACAAATATCTCTTTAAGATAATTATTCTCTTTGGCTATATACCCAGAAGTGGCATTGTTGAATCATGCCATAGTCCTATTTTTAGTTAGTTTTTAAGAACCACTGTATTAATTTATGTGGTGGCTGTATGATTTGTATTTCCAACAGTGTACAGGTTTCCATTTTCATCACATCCTTGCCAAAATGTTATCTCTTGACATTTTGAAAACATCTTGCCAGGTGTAAGGTGACAATTTTATGGTTTAGATTTGAATTTTCTTGATGATTAACGATGTAGAGGACCCTTTATATGTATGAGTTGGTAATTTCTATGTATTCTTTAGAAAAAATTTTATTTAAGTCCTGTGCTCATTTTAAAGTCAGATTTTTTGCTATGAAATTATATATGTTCCTTGTTAAATTTTGGATATTAACCCCTTATCAGATACACAATTTGTAAATATTTTCTTCCATTTGAGGATTGACTTCTCATTTTGGTGATTCCTTTATCTTGTAGAAATTTGTTTATTTTTGCTTGCATTGCTGTGCTTTTGGTGTCATATCCAAAGAATCATTGCCAAGACCAATGTCAATGAGAATTTCCCCATTTTCTTATAGTAATTCAAAGTTTCAAAACATACATTTAAGTTTTTAAGCATTTTTAGTTATTTTTATTCTTTTTAGATATACATGACCGTAGAGTGTATTTTGACATATTATACATACATGGAGTATAAATTAGTTTGATTTGGATCCCATTCTTGTGGTTGTATATGATGTACAGTTTCACTGATTGTATATTTATATATTAACATAGAAAAATTATGTCTGATTCATTCTACTCTCTTTGCATTTGGGTTATTTTTGTGTATGTTGTAGATAAGGACCAATTTCTCTTTTTTGTTATTTTTGTATATGGATATCCAGATTTCCCAACATCATTTATTACAGATACTATCATTTCCCTATTGTGTGTTGAAAATTATCTGACTATATGCATGTGTGGGTTTGTTTCTGGGATTTTTATTATGTTCCTTTGGTCTTTATGCCTGATTTTATGCCAGTATCATACTGCTTTGATTGCTGTAGCTTTGTAGTATATTTTGAAGTCAGATAATGTGATGCTTCCAGTTTTTTTTTCTTTTCAAGATAATTTTGGCTATTCAAGATCTTTTGTGGTTCTATGTGAATTTCAGGAGTTGGCAAGCAATCTTGGGCAGTTAGGTGAGGTGAAACTTTTGGAGGGCCTGTTTTGGAGGTTGAAGGTATCTCTAGTGCTTCATGGGTAAAGCTTCCTGATGGGGTCCATAGAGTAGTTAATAGGTTCTGTAGCCTTTCTTTCCTGCTCTCAGCTTTTCATAACCACTCAACTGTACGGATCACCTGTGTATTCTAGGTAGGATGCTAGAGAAATGGGCCTATCAGGGAGCACTGGATGAGCTAAGCACATAGTCATTATGCTCTCACTTTTCCTTTTTGGAGAAATCATGGCCCCAAGGGGATTCTCTTGGCTTTGAGTTGTGCCCCTGTAGGGAGGTGATGTGTGTAAAATGAAACTATTTCTCTTCCCCTTTTTAATGTCTTTAAGATTTTAAGATCCAACAATGTGCTGGAATTTCTCCACAGGACTACTGGACTCCCATGAAGGTACTCTGTCATCCATGGTTAGTTGTTTAAACCTATGATTTGGGAGTATTGAAAGTACAAAATCCTATTCCACAACCTTGTTGATGTTACTGTCTCTGATTATTTTCTAACTGATCAGGAGGTGACTAGGAGAGCAATTGGATAGCACTGAATAAAAAGGTACCTATCAAAATATTTGTTATACTAATTTGATTTCTTATCTTTTTAATCTTGGTAGGTATTATAATTTGGATCCTCAATACTCCACAAAAGCCCATATATTGAAGGGTTAGTCCTCAATGCAGCAGTAATCAGAGCTTTGGCTGTTGGGAGGTGATTGGATCATGAGGGCTCTGACCTAAAGAGGATTTAACCATTTGTGTTATTATGCTTAATGAGTTTTGGGAAAGAGCCTTGTTTTAAAATTGAGCTTTCTTTGCTTCTAGGTTCCTATGAGATGAGAAGCTTTCCTCTGCCATGTTCTTCCACCATGATGTACTGCCTTGTCACAGGCCTAAAACCAATGATTGATTTTTAAGCAATAATGGACTGAAACCTATTAAACCATAAGCCAAAATAAATCTTTCTCATTTTAAGTTATTTTTTTTTAATATCTTTTCCAACAACAGAAAGGTGACTAACACATAAAATTGGTACCAATAAATGAGGTCATTGCTATCACTATACGTTATCTTGTAGTTCAGAAGCCTTTGGAACTTGTTTGGAGGACATTTGGAAAAGTGAAAAAGCAGGCTAGAAAAAAGCTGGGAATTCTATAAGCAGAGCTTAATGTGTGATTCTGGTGGGAATTCACAAAACCAGAATGCTGGTAGAAACCTGGACAGTAAAGGCTGTGTTGTTGAGGTTTCAGATGGAGGTGAGGACTCTACTGGAAGTTGAACTAAAGTTCACTCATGTTACATTCTGGCAAAAAAAAACAAAAAAAAAACTTCTCTACAGTTTGTCCATGCCCTGAGACTTTGAGAGACTAAGTTTAAAGATGAGGAACTAATCTGGTAGAGGAAATTTCACGGCAGCACAATATTCTGGCTGTGGCATGGATGTTACTGGCTGCTTTTATCTAGATTATAAATAAATAAATAAATAAATAAACAAACAAACAAACAAATTAGAGCCGAAAGATATGAAAAACTTGTAGTTGGCCAGAAAAAAAAAAGTGCATGTGCACTTTCAGCCAAGAAGGTTGTTGCTAAAGAGCCTAGTACCAAGTACTTCATCCTGGGACATGAGGAAAGATGCCCTGAGGGCATTTCAAATATCTGCTAGATTCCATTCATTGCAGGATCAATGTCATAAAAGTGTAAACTCAATTAAAACAATTTGCTTTGAAAAGAGAGCACCAGGTACCATGCTTGTACACAGCTGCTTAGGAAATTTAATAACCTAGATATATTTTCTTATGCTCAGCCATCCAGACACTCAGAGGCCACTGAAGCTGTGGTCTAAGGGATTATAAAATCTGCTCTCACTAGAAGCAGACCTTGGCTTCATTTACGTGGTGCTGAGTTTGTAGGCATTCAGAATAAACAAGCTATGGGGTCATGGTAGCTTCCACTGAGATTTCTCAAGGAAGCATGGAAGCTAAGGGCTATATAGCAGAGCTAATGTTCCTGAAAAAAAGCTCCTAAGAGGATGACATTTGTGAGAATGAAGCTGAAACTGCAATGGAGATCCCAGGAAGTTGGAGACGTCAGGAATGTAGACTTCCTACTAGGGGAATCTGCAGGCAGTGAGTAGAGCACCAGGCCAAGAGAGAGGACATGGGCATTGAAGCCAGCAAGATTGTAGGGGCAGGATTGTCCAAACCCTTTGGAGCTTACATCATGCCATGTATCCTGGATGACAAATATATAACTGCAGGATTTAATGTTTTCCCCATTGAGTTTTGGTCTTAGTTTGGTCCAATTCCTCCTTTCTATGCCCCTAGACCTCCTATTGGAATGGGAATATTTACCTTGTGCTATGTTGGAAGTTGTAACTTACTTTTTGATTTTACAGGAACTTGCATCTAAGAGTTTGCCTTGAGTCTCAGGATTCAAAGTAGACTGTGGATTGATTTTTGAGAAATGCCAGAACTGTTAAGAGTTTGGTGACTCTTGGAGAAGGATTAAGTGAATTTTGCACTGTGAGATAGACATGAGACTTTGAGGACCAGGGAAAGAATATTATGACTTGGATCTTAAATGTATCCCAAAATTCATGTGTTGAAGGCTTGATCCTCAATAGAGCAATGTTCAGAAGTAGGTTCTTTGGAGGTGATCATATCATGAAGGTTCTGAGCTCATGAATGGATTAATTCATTTATGAATCCATAGCTTAATGGGTTTTGGGGAAGGGATTTTGTTATAAAATTTAGCTCTCTCTGATTCCCATCTACCACGAGGTGAAACAGCTGTCTCTGCTATGCACTTTCACCATGATATACTGCCTTAACACAGGTCTTAGGCTGACTAGACTAAGAAACCATGGACTGAAATCTCTGAAACCATAAGCCAAAATAATTTTCCTCCTCTTTTTATTTGTTGTTTTTAGATACACATGACAGTTGGGTGTATTTTGACATATTATACTTATATGGAGTGAAACCCATTACATATTTTGATCCCATTCTTGTGGTTGAACTATTTTTCACAGATATTCTGTGACAGTGAATAAAATATGACTAATAGATTATACAGCCCCTTATATTGTGATAAGAAATATACTTACCTCGATCATCATTTGAAAAGTCTAGAGGATTAGAGAAAAACATGAGATTCTTAGCTTCTTATAAACTGATATGTAATAATTTATTAGCCAATTCAATATCTAATTTACTTACCACTTTCTGTTGAATATGAATGTCGGGATCCTAAAAGAAGATTAAAAAAAAAGCATACTGAGATTCTACCTAGAGAGGTATAATTACATTGCTTTCTTATTAGATGAGAATCTGTTTACCTTTTCCTTTTTTAGTTCTCTTAGAGTAAGAACCTTTTGGGAAAGAAAAAAAAAGAATTTATTTTACCAATAGCTGACCAGGAAATAAATTTACCATTAGTCTATATCTAACTAAGGGATTTGCTACTTTACCAAATATTCCCTTTTTTTGGTTGCATTTTATAAAGGAAATCCTTTGCTCCTCCACTTTTTTGTTCATGATAGATGAATTGTGGAGACGAGAAGGAGAGAATGGACCATAAGTCCAAGTATGAGCATGGACAGAAGCATACACTTGTGTGTGTGTGTGTGTGTGTGTGTGTGTGTGTGTTTTCATGTTCACAACCTCAGAAACCATAGTTCTAGTTAGTTATAGTTTAGTTCAGTGGCTTAAATCAGGAATGAGAGGCGCTCTAATGGCTGTTGATGAGTTGTGAAGATAGAAGTGGTCAGAGAAAGAGCAGAGGGTACATATGTAGGCAGCCCTCCTGAGTAGATTTTGAGAAAAAGCAGTGAATGTTGAGTTGTGAGAGTTAAGAACATTAATGGTACATTGAAATTAGTGGTAAGTGTGAGTCCCTGAAAAATACTAATGCCTTGGAGTTCCCTTTATAACCATCAAATTTCTGAAGAAGTTTCATTTCAAATAAACTTTATCATCCCATATTCATATCAGAGCACATGTTCTGATTTGAGGGACAATTTGTAACTATTTTAATAGTAGTAAATATTGAAATTTAGTATAAAATGGACCTTTTCTTGGCCTTAAGTCGAGTGGGGAGGGTAGTATGGTGTTAGAATATGAGTACAGATTCAGAGTCACAAAACCTGAGTACAGTATCCAGCTCCTTCTGTAGTTAGTTTAACTTGGATAAATATGAACCTTTGTGAGCATTAATTTACTCTTCCAAAGTGGAGATAATATTTTTTTCCTCTTTTGTTGTATGGCATCCAAAATGTCTTTTCTTTTTTAAAAAATTATTTGTTCTTTTTATTTATACATGACAATAGAGTGTATTTTGACATATTATATATACACGGAGCATAACTCCTTTTCATATGTACTGTTTTATTTAATCTTCACAACAATTCATAAATTACATGTTTTATCTCCAGTTAAACATCTAAGAAACTATTTCAGGGAGATTTTAAAGAACTTTTCCAAGATCTTGGGGATAAAATGAAGCTGGAATTAAATGATTTTAATGGTCTTCAGAAGGAAAAATATTTTCATTTTCTGAGAATGCACAGTTCTTTTGTATTGTATATGCACATGTATAGAGAGATTGATAAGCAGTTGGATATATAACAGCAAAAGATGTGCTGTTTTAACAAATCATGCTCAAAGGGGGATGAGTTCTTTGTTTATAAAAAATAAATCCTTTTATCAATTCTCTGGTAATTTGTAATCTAGTTACCTGAATCATCCTCATAGTCTAGAAGCCCAGTACCTAGGGAAAAGGAGAGTTCCATGATTTTGATTCTTGATTATTAGTGGGGCTTTATTTAAGATTCTGAGAGTTTATGTAAGCATAAGTTTCCAAAGGTGAATAATGATGTGAATTAATTTACCTTGTAGAAATTATGGATTGTGCCTAAGTATCAGTAGTAGATGATGATAAGTGTCTGTGTGAGTCACCAGTTTTGAAACATTAGCTAGGCTAAATAACAGAGGGTATTACAAAGTTGATTTCACTGTAGTGCATACCTCTCATTTCTTCCATTACCGATTCTTGGCTCTTTGTTAGAAACTTTTGTGTCTTTCTATATCTTGCTATGGAAAGTCTACTTTACCTTTTCATATTTTGAACTTGTACTCTTCCTTTCAGTCATAGTAACACATTATTATGTTCACTCTCATTATTCATGGCTACATTAGATTCTTCTACCTAGTTATCTTAATGAGATCTTCTTCACTACAGGTTTAGACCTTCCACTGAACCATCTACTCCAGTGCTATTTCCAAGGCTTGGTATCCATGTTACTGCCCTCTGAAAGGAAACTCAGAATTGTGTAGGCCCATTTACTATTAATCACACCTGCCTACTTCTCAACAAAGTTTGGCATTCAGTGCTCTAAGAAAGCTCTGGTAGATTTCTCTTAATGATTTAGAAGTTCAACTCATGAAATGATGTACTCTGCCAGGTGCAGGAAACCTAGTGGTAAACTTAGATTTTGTTCCTGCTTTATGAAAAATCTATAAATACTTATTGTATTTCTTTTTTCCCCATGGGTATAAGTACTTACTTTGTTCTGAACTGTATCTGGAGACATCTATTTCTGTGGAAGAATTAGGCAAAAATATTTCTATTAGCTTCTTATGAGAGGTATTCTTCCCCTAACCTAACTCTCCTCGATCTAGCTTCCTTGTTCCCAATTGTGGTCCTCCTGATAGAATGCATTACCAATTCTCACCTCTTTACAGCATCCCAAGCTATTCCTATTGCACTTATCTTTTCATACTATCATTTTCTAGGGTTTATAGGTACTGGTGATGGTAAATAAGGAGGGAACATAGATGATTAGTAGGGAGGGGGTGAGATAATGAAAAAAAATCCTGGAGAGGAAGACCTTATGACAGAAATGTCTTTGCTTTTATGAGCCCCATCTCTATTTTCATTGACAAGTAGTATTCTGTATTTGTCTTATTTTATTATCTCCTCATAGCAAGTCACTAAAAGTCTACAGTTATTTCCATATATTAGATATTGATGAGTGCTAGCATACTGTCATCACACTTCCAATTTTAAAAATTAAAGTAATTTTCTTTGGAGCTCGGATAAGTTTGTTTTAATTACTCTTGCTAAACTGCTATTTTTCTTGTTGACAGTGTTGATAACATAAGCTTCAGAAGTTTTAACAGTGCAAAGAGAATTACCACTAAGTCAGAGATTCTTATTTTTATTGGTTCCGTCTAGTTATATACAGACTCATGTATTGAAACAGATTGTCAAAGTATTGCCAAAGTCTCTAGCTACTTGGTAAACAGAGACAAACTTAGACTGTTTATTGGCATCCCTCTTCTGTGACTTCTACAGGAAATCTCTGTTTTGACTCATTATTACTCACCATTTTGCTTGCTTCGTGTCCATCTTGTTAACAAAATAGCCAGAATGGCAAGTCCCAGTAGAATCAGGATGACACCCAGAGTTATTTCTGAAACAAAAACTCATCTGTAGGTCTGCTTATTTGGGCCAGTTTATTATTAGAAACAACTTCTGATTAACAGACTGTTTTTCTCTTTCCCTTTTCTGTGTCCTTCTTTATTTCTTCATCTTCCTAATTTTAATGCCCCTACATTCCCGCACCTGCCCATTTTTAGCTCTTTTATTGGTTCTTTGGGTTATATGCTAAGAACATCAGAATTTTTACATCCTTGCTTTGGAGTGAGCAGTCTGAAAGATTTTTTCCTCAATGAACTCCTTACTGTGAGGCAAGAGAAAGTTAGAGGGAATCAGTGGGCTGAAAAGCAATCTTCTGGGGTTTGAGAAAACATTAGAATTTCTATTTTATAATTTTTTATTTTATAATTATAAAATTTGTAATTTTCAATTTTACAAGGTACATATTAGCATAATTGTACATTCATAACACTTATAAATATATGTAAATATACATACATAGGGAATGTATGCTCACAGTTTTTTGGGGGTTTTTTTTGTGGTTTTTTTTTTTTTTTTTTTTGCGGAGATGAGCAATCAAAACGCTTGAGAGTCCCCTGAAGGATACTGATTGAACTTCTTATCAAAAGAAAGAACTTTCAATCATCACCCACCAAGTCCCTTATGATAAGATAGATATTTATGAGGTTTGTTACTGAGGTTAACATGATAAATCACCCTGGGACTGTTCAGCCTGTGTTTGTTTATGTGTCATTGATTTGCATCTGATTGACATTAAGATATTATATCCCATCTGATTCAAATGTATAATATTTCAAGGTCATTATACTGTCATGTGTAACATAGCAAGTCACTACATTAAAACAAAAAAAGATTTTTGCAAAAATTGTAGGAGACACAGTGTGCTATGGTTATAAAAAAAACAGGCTATGTGAGATGGTTTTAGGAGAAGAGGAGAGAGAGAGGAACAAGGAAGGAAAGAAGGAAGAAGAGAGGAAAAGAAAAGGGGAAAAGAGGAGGAAAGAAGGAAGGAATGAACCATATATCTGCCTGTGACAGTGAAAATGCTGAAGACTATCCAAATTTGAAAGGCTAAGAGAAAAGATTACACCAAAATTAAGGCTACTTCAAAAAAAATCAATAGGTGAATTCACTTCAAGACGTAACAACAACATACCTCCAATCAAGGTGGATTAAGCACATGTCCATGTAGTCTTTTAGGTGTTTGGTTATATGAAAAAATTCTCCTGCAATTTGACCTAAAGATTTATTACTGATGCACCTCTAAATTGAATAGTAAATATTCAGTCTGGCCTCTATCTTTAAAATCAGGTGTTTTTTTTTTTTTTTTTTTTTTTTTTTTGACTAATGTGACTTTTCCCTTAGGGGATAAAGCAATAGCTAGATTTTGAACTCAGATTAAGTCTTCACATAGTAATACCTCCTTTGAAATGCTCTGGCTAAAAGGCAGTCCACCTTAGAAGATGAATCCACTCCACATTTTTCATGAGGGAAACAAGAGGAAGTCCTTATTTATCATAGTTGAGGCAAATCATAAAGTGAAAGTAGTACACAAAGGGCAATAATAGGCTAAGGAGTTTTCCCAGTGCTATGGAGGATGTTTATTTTCTTAGATCAGTTCAAATTCTAGAAACCAAAGAAGAAACCATTTCTATCACTCTACAGCAGAGTTGACCATGGGCTGTTTTCCTCCATGTTCCTAGAGGAATCAATGAAAATGAAATATTGGATACTGAATTTGAAAGGAGAACAGGCGAGAACTGTAAATCAGTTGTATTAACGTCCCTAAGAAAAGGTTTCTGAGCAAGTGTTAAAGAAACATCAGAGAGGAAGTTGGTTCATACCCAAGGCTGCCATTTTCCTGGTATTGTCTTCAGTGGGTTCCAAGTCATCTGGATTCCTTTGTCAGAGGCAGATTAAGAGAAAATGAACAACTTAAAGTCACTGTTTCTGAGTAGTATAAACTTGGCTGTCAGGAATGTCCTTATAGACAAAGATACAGAGGATCTCTGAGGAATTGTGTAGCTCAGGTTAATCAGACCTAAGCAGGCTATGTGAGTGTGATCTATGAAGATTCCAGAATCTATGTCATAAGAAAGCATTAGAACTTCAGAGAGGTAAGAGCAAAGGAAGAAAAGGAACAGAAGGCTGAGAAGACATAAAAATACTTTGGTGAATCTTGGAACTTATATAGAATATTGGAAGGGAACTCATTCTACTGGGCTCCAGAATAATTTCTAAGTTTTTGGATATTTTGAGTCCAGAGATTTTGTCTTATTCAATGTTGAAAACCTTTCATAGAATAGGAACTTTTCAAATGTTTGATGATTACAATGAAAAAAATCCTGTATTTAAAAATAAAGGCTTTGAAATAAATGAGGGTGAACCGAAGAAGCAAAGGACTTGGAGTTTGATGACAAGAGGTAAGGAGTCTGCAATGCAAAAGAGTGAGTCAGTGAATGGGATTCATAAGGCAATGTAATAAAGAGAAATAGATACTTTTTATTGAGTGTCTATTGACTACAAAGCTCTGTAGTAGGTAATTTATAAGCACAAACACAACATAATCCCCAATATCTTTATGATGAAATTTTTCAAGATGGAGACACCTGAAGTCAACCATCTAACAAATGGCAGAGTTTCTGAATCCAAAGCTCATACCATATGCACAAAGCTATATTTTGTTTCAGTGTTGGAACAGCTCTGGACTATTTTGTTTTTTAAAATCAACCTTGACGGTTATAAATTCTTATTTTGTCTAGTTTTATAATTTAGGTTGATGAGAGAGGAGCCATTTAAATTTTTACATTGAATTTTAAATTACTAGGGTTTCAATAATCATTACATATTTTAATTTTATTAAAATTTATCTATTGACACAAATTCATTCTTTTTTTGTTTGGTACTAGGGATTGAACCCGGTAGTCCTTTACCATTGAGCTATACCCCTAGCCCTTCTTCTTATTTTTTTTATTTTGAAACAAGGTCTCACTAAGTTGCAGAGGCCGGCATTGAACTTAAAACTTCCAGCCTCAGCTTTTTAAATTGCAGGGATTATAGGTGTATACCACCACACGAAGGTACAGATTCCTTCTTTTATAAAAAATACTTTTATTGGTATATTAAAATTATACATAGTGATGGGATTTATTGTGGTATATTAAAATATGCACATAACATAATTTGGTCATTTTCATTCTCCAGTACCTCCCCTTTCCTTTTATTCCTCTTTCCCTCTGATCTCCATCCTCGGCTTTCTAGTCTCACTTCTATTTTTATGAGAGATCCTATTTTTTTTCTCTAATTCTACATATGAGAGAAAATGTATGACCCTTGACTTTTGAGTTTTTTTGCTTAACATGATATTATCCAGTTCCATACATTTTTCTGCAAATGTTATAGTTTCATTTCTCTTTATGGCTAGTACTCCATTGTGTGTGTGTGTGTGTGTGTGTGTGTGTG